TTTCTAGGACTGGCCCCTTTATTTTCTTTTGGGAAATAATCTCTTCCCCACTTGAATCCATGGGACTCTGATAGAAGAGATACTGTTTCTAGTCCAGGGAGGTGCCATGCAGCCCAGGCCAATGGGCCCAGCACATCCCCTTGGCCAGGCACTGATTCATGATTCAGCAGGACCCATAAGAGCCAGAAGGCTGTCAGACGGGGTCTTTTGTGAGCTATTGGGAAAAGGACTTTTTTTTTTTTCTTGCTGAGACTGCAGAATGCAAACCTGGAGCTGGTGGTGCCCATCTTTGCCACAGGCAAGAACCTGCCAAAATTGAAGCCAACTCTGAGGGGAACTGACTTTTGATGCAGGGAAAGATGAAATCATGGCACCCTGGATTAAGTACCCAGATCTGCCTCCAGAATTGTCTGTTATTTCACTTCCCTTTTCTTGAGTTGGTGTGAGTCGGATTCTGGCAGCTATAATCTAAAGAATGTGGATTAAAGCACAGGATGTTACTGGGCTTTTCCTGTGATTCCCCCTCCTCTCTATGTCCCATTCTCTATGCACATGTGAAAGTTGTGGCTGAAAGGACTTGTCATCCATTAACTCATCACAATTTCATGGAGCACATTCTATGGCAGTTACCATGTAGAGTCCTTGGACATAAAGATGAATAGGAAAAAAATCTGCACCAGATAGACAAATGTAAACAGGCATGAGCAGTGTGAGAAGGGTACAGGCCCAGCACGGTGGGTAAGAGCATGGGCTTTATTGCCAGATGGCTTGGGCCTACCGCAACACTATTGATTTCACACATTTCCTCACTTCTCTCTCCCTCTCTTTCTCCAACTTTAAAATGGGTAGAATAATCACTATGAGGACTTTTCTGTCCATTTGGGCGGCTGTAACAAAATACTAAAAACTGTGCAGATACGAACAACAGAAATTTCTTTCTTTCAATTATGGAGGCTTCGAAGTCCAAGATCAAACTGCTGGCAGATTCAGGGTCTGAAGGAGGGCCCACACCCTGGTGTACAAATGGTGGTCTTCTTATCACTCTATTCTCCTGTGTTGGCAGGGATAGGGCAGTGTTCTGGGGCCTCTCCTATAAGGTCACTAATCCCAATCATGAAGGCAGAACCTCTTGATCTAATCATCTCCCCAAATCCCATTTCTTGTTACTATCACACTAGGGATTAAATTCCAACATATGGATTTGGAGGCGACAGAAATGTGCAGACCGTACAAGGTCCAAGTGAGGTAATGCATATAACAGGTGCTTGGTAAGGCAATGTAACAGGTGCTACTGTGACTGGATGCCACTTCTCAGATGGTAGAGGAGACACAGGAGGTTACCTATTGGTCCCCTCCTGCATAGGGAAGGGAATGAGTAGAGGAAAGGAAGTAATTTTTGAGCTGGACCTTGAAAGGTAAACTAGCTAAGCGGATAAGAACAGCAGTGGCCCACGAGCAAAGGAAACATGGTGTGTAAAGGTTCTGAGGTATGCCCTGGCCAGCCACTCTTGAACTGCAGTCACCTGCATTTTCTTAGACTATATATTATATGTGGGTGACTTCTGCTTACCATGAAAGGAAGCAGAGGCTAGATCCCCAAAGGCACTATTATTATTAGTAGGTAGGATTACAACTTTTGTAAATGACCAATTTTACACAGAAGATTTAAGTTAAAATGGCATTTAGAAGTTATCATTATGAAAAAGTACAAAGAAAAATACCACCATAGGCATATCTGGTTCAAGGTTGAAACAATAACTCCAAGACTCACTTTTTTTCTTTTTATCTCCGTCTTCATTTGTGGATGAATTCATTCTCAAGTGGTATTAGCTTTGTGATGGAAGATGCCAGTTGGAGGTTCAGAAGCTGAAGTCCAATGGGAAAAAAGAGATTCTCTCCAAAGACGTTCCAGCAAAGTCTCACTGGCTTTAATTGAGTCACCTGGACCGATTATTTTGGTGAGGGAATTCGATGGATCAGGCCAAGAAGCTCAAAGACTAAGCATATGAAGGAGGATATTCCCTCAGAAGGAAGTTGGGTATAGATAGCAGGAAAAGAATATGGAATGTGTGCCTGCTAGAAACACGTTTTATATTCAGAGTTTGGGAGGACCGGTGCTGGTTTTTATGCTGTGGAGTGACGTGACTGTATTTCCATTTTAGAAGAATATATTAAACTTAAGTGTGGAGGATGAGTTGGAGGGTTGTGGCTGGAGGTAAGGAGTTGGTTGCAAAGGTTTCTACTAACCAAGGGAAGTGATAATGAATATACGGATGAGACCTTGGCATCGAGAAGGAAAGTTTCAGTGACTCAGAGACATACATTTAGGGTCTAGAACTATAAGAATTTTGTGCTGAACAGAATTCAGTGGGGAAGGAAAAGAAGACATCTAGAATGCATTTAGGCTTGTGGCTTTGGATAGTGATGCCATTTATGCAAAGTGGAGCTACAGAAGGAGAGAGGGGACGTTATAGGACAAAAAATAGCTAATATCTAAAATTTATTTATGTTCATCATCTTTTTCTCAGAGTATTACAGAAAAGGCATATTCAGAGTTCATGACATCTATTTTTCACCATAAGCAACATTATTCACAGCGATGAGTGACCTGGGTACATCCTTGTGCAGAATGTGAGCTAGGAACCTGGTGCCCAGGTATCTGCACGTTTTTGACCCACACTGTGGTTTTAGCCTAGCCCCTCTGCCTTTTCATTTGTTTTGCTCTTTTCTTTTATCCTGAATGTTTTCTGTCTGTATTTTACTTTTCTAAGATGCTATAAGTCTTTCTAGAACAAGATAGTATGTAGTCAATTCATAATGCCTTATTAATATTCAATACAAGTTAGCAGTTACAAAGAATGATTGGAATGAGACTTAGATTTTTCTTAAACAAAATCACGCTTCCATTTTCCTTATACAAATATCCATAAATATGGAAAAATTGTACCTGCTTGTTTTTTTTAAGAAACAAAAGACACTGGCATTTATTTGCTTAAGATTTTATTCTTTCGATACCAAAACTGGCTTTCCTTTCCCATGTCAGCTCTCTGATCCCCATCACCACCCCACCAGATAGCTCAAGATAAAGTTTATCTCAGGGCCTAAGACGAATAAGAGAAACTTTGTTTAAAATGCTACTCAAAATAGGCTTTGAAATGAAAGGCATTTACAAGATAAGTAAACAATGTCCAAAAATAAATGCATTTATAGATCATGCTCAGAAAAAAATTTACACAACAATCTCGTGGGTCATGACTGTCTGCATGACATCTCCATTTCCACTTTCTCCAGAAAATTCTGTTGTCCTGAAATGGCCTACATTTTCTATTTCTAAGATTAGATAGCTTCTGTGGTTTGTGCTCTATATCCGGGAATTCTGGCTTTAGCTGTAATGTGTAGGCAGATGATTATCTCACACCACTTTGGCTCTCTCTTCTTGGTCTAATCCTCATTGCTCTTGGACAACTGGGCCCATTGCCTGACTCAGGAGAGCAACAAGGAGACAGAGTATGGAGGCAAGGGAGGTCTGAAAAACAGGAGAGTCAAGCATTGCGCCCAGATACAACCCATCGGTCATTACAAGTTTCACCTCTGATAATGGCAGCTCTCAGTTCTGGAGCATGCAGACCTTCACCCTTTCCTGAAGTCCCCACCCCTCAGGCTGGTCTTTGGGGCTCTTACAAATATGGTCCATCAATCTCTGTCCTGGGTCTGTGCTCCCACTTGCTGCTGTGTCTGCATTGCTATTCCTGCCTGTGTGTCCTTCCTGTCACTTGGGTCCCTCCAAGTCCTATCATCACCTAAGGCCCAGTGGGCAGAGATTCCCTCGGTCCTCTCTATCACCTCACAATTTGGAAGCAAACATTTGGTCCTCTTTTACGGCAATTTGTCTCTACCCCGAGCCCGACAATTCTAGAAAAGAACATAAAGGAGGTGACATGATTCACACATTTGTAGGCATTAAAAAACTATTAAATGAACAAGCAAAGAGGGGAATAAGTAGAAGGAGCACTAGAAGATACTGAAAGAAAAGCCTAAGGGAATGTGATTACTATCAACCAAGGGAGTGGGGGATGAGACAGAGCCACAGACTAACTGACAGATTGCAGTGCAGAGGGCAATAAGAAGTGGGACTGGGGGCTTGGGAGAGACAGCTCTTTATCTGTTTGATCTCTCTCCTGCCTCCTCCTGTTCATTCTCTGATTGGCTCACTTGTGGATCAGCTAGCACTCATGGATCAGTGGACACATGCTTTGCCTCCTTGGAATTCAGGATTTAGGAAATCCACAAGAAATCACGTGCTAGAGTGATATAAAGCAGTGGCCTTGCTTGTGAGAATGCTATTAGGTGAGAAGTTTGATTTAGGAGACCATCATGTTGAAAGGTTTGGGAGAATGACCTACTGGCTGTTTCTCTCCATTTCCGTCTTCATTTCCATTACCCCTCCCTGGCCTCTATTCCCTCTCTAGGATTTTCACTCCTTCCCAGTTGAAAATACCATGTTTTGAGGGAACAGGGAGTAAGTGGTGCTGACTTCCTCGTTTTCTCTGCATCCATTTCACCCACTTAAATACACCTCGGCATGCCTACTCTCTTCCCACATGTAAAATCTCCTCTGGTCCCCAATCCCAGGAAAAGCAGGTCTTGTGTAGCTCTAGCGTTGAACCCATCTATTTTCCATGGTGCCCACAACAGAGTTGTGACAGTGTGCTCCCTGTACTCTATCTGGCCTCTATGAAGGTCAGGCTTTTGTCTAAACTCTGTATTCCACCTGACTTGGCGCCATGGTGTCTGGTCCACACACAGGGGCTCACCAAGGAGCTGTTGCATGGATGTACACCAGCACAAAGAACTAAACAATAAAACAAAAGAAATTTATCACTTTAGTTTGCTTGAAAATGCTCAACATCTCTTACCTTTGTTGTATGACCTATTATAGCTTTTGAGAACTCTCAAACCCTGGCTGGGATGTTATGTTTCTCTTAAATAACAGACAAAACTGTAATTTTATGAATATTTAATGGGACAATATCATCGCCAGCTGACTTTATCACAATGGGCATTTAATAAAAGTTTTGTCAATATTGTCTTTAATTTGTTTAAATATTTATGAACATTACTTTTTTTAAATTTTATTTTGGTGATGCTGCGGGCTGAACCCAGGGCCTTGTGCATGCAAGGCAAGCACTCTACCAACTGAGCTGTATCTCCAGCCCCATGGACATGACTTTCAAGAGAATCCATATCTGGAGTTATTGTGGACCGCTCGTGTTGGTGTGGTTTTAGCTGCGTGGTGGTTTATCTTGTTTTGATAAATTCCTCCAGAACTGTCTGCAGATGCTCTGGAATCCGAGTAGGAGTTCTTTGGAACTCTTTCCTGCTCCTTCCACCTTCCAGTAACCCAGATGAGATTGAAGCATCAGCCGTGGTGACCTGGAAACTTTCAGGTCTGCAGTCGGGGGGGTCACAGTTCGTCATCTTCTGATATGGAATCCAGGTAATCCGTGTCCACGTAGAGGAGAAATCCAGAGAACAGGCTGTCTGCCCAGCCGGGGTCTGAGAAGAGGCCATTCTGGTCTGTGAAGAAGATCTCCAGCCAGACTTCATCTTCTGGCTGCAGGTAGATGACGGTGGATCCCGAGGCCACGTCATGGTTCCCTGTGTTGGCGTCGAAGGTCTTTATCCGGTATTGCCCGTTGTGCACCAGCCCGATGGCCAGGTGCTTATTGGCCAAAGTGATATCATAAGAAAAGTAGTAGATTCCTGGGAAAGCACAGATGAACTTTCCTGTCGCAGGGTTGTAGTGCTCACCCTCATTGAAGAGCACCTTGTTAAATATAATAGGGATTCTTTCTTCAGGGTAGCTGGTGGTGATGCCAACAGAAAAGGCGGATTTGAGCACGAGGCTGCCACATCGGCACACTCCAGGCAGCCCTGGGTCCCCTTGGTCTCCTCGGTCTCCCTTTGGTCCAGGAAGCCCAACTGGACCTACTTCTCCTTTCTCTCCCTCTGGTCCCATGGGTCCTTTCTTCCCAGTCTCTCCTTGGTCCCCTTTTTCGCCAGCCAGACCCAGGGGTCCCGTCTTACCTCTCAGACCTTCAAAGAGAGTTTATAGTTGAATTAATAGTTCCTCTAAAGAGTCATGAACAGCATTATCTACATGGTCCCAGCACACCAACTTTGTCTTTTCAGTCAACCTTTTTAGTTAGTTAGTATTACTAACTAAAAAAAATCCTCTAAAAAAACCACTGATACACTGAAAATGAAAACAGAGAATTTCCATCAGAATTTCAAGTCTGTTTTCCCGAGTATGTTACACATCATTTAAGACCTCTCTAATTTTAAAATAATTAACTACTATTTTGATGATGATGGATCACCTGTCATTCAATTATTCCAATCCAGGTACTGGTCACTGTCTGAAGAATTCAGTGAGCACAATGATATTATTCTCCAGAGTAGACTCATAGGGACAAATAATTCTTACAAACTATCTAGTCTCATGCCCCATTCTATTTCAGTTATTTTTTTAACAAAATAATGAAAGTTAAATTCGATTATGTTTATGAACCATTTATTTTGTGCCAAGAATAGCATTAAGAGTTTTCTTTGCGTGTATTATCTCATTTAAATATCACACAACTCTATGAACTAAGAATAATTAATACTTCAATTTCAGATGAGAAAGCTGAGCCATGGAAAAATTATTTTGCTCAAGAGATAGAGCTAATGAGTGATAGAGCTGTGATCAGAATGGCATGCATCCTGCCTGACTCTGGAGACTGAGCATCCCCCAGGGGCAGAGGCTAGAGTATGAACTGGTATGTAGTGTTAATATGCTACAGTAACCAGAAAACTATGACTGCCGCCACCTTGCATTAGTTCCTTTGTGGAGAGAAAACTGATGCGTAGTGCTGTGACGAAACTTGCTTCTGCAGCAAGGCCAGGGCTAGAGTCCAAGCCTTAATAGCCTGACGATGTTGCCCGGTCCTCAGAATGCTTCTTCCCTTTAGGGTGCTACTCAAGAATCCTAATTCTGTTTGGCTCTGCTCCTATATGGATGGCTGTTTTCTCTTACAGAGGCCCATTAATTTAACTGGGAAGGACATAATAACTATGAAAAAGTTTTCAACAAATTTGAAGTTACCATACAAAATTATTTTCTCTATGTCCAAATTTCTGTATCTACAGATCAGCTACAGGTTAAGTGCAGAGACATGGTGATCATGGTTTAAATAAGCAAAATACCCTTAATTTTAAAGCTGTAAAGACTTAATATTATAAAAAAGATGTTATTCAATTTGTTATGGTTTAGATATGAAGTGTCCCCAAAAAGCTCACATGTGAGACAATTTAAGAAGGCTCAGAGGTGAAATGATCAGAGTATGAAAGGCTTAAACTAATCAGTGGATTAATCCATTGATGGATTAATTGGGCGGCAACTCTAGGCAAGTGCAGTTACTGGGTGTGACTGGATTAACAGTCCTGTTTGGTCCCTGGTCAGCAGATCTCTCTCTGCTTTCTTCCCGTCATGTTCTGAACTGCTTTCCCCCACCACGCCTGTCCACCATGAAGTTCTGCTTCACCTTGAAGCCCAGAGCTATGAAGTTGGCTATCTATGAACTGAACCCCTAAAACCATGAGCCAAAATAAACTTTTTCTCTTCTACGTTGTTCTTGTTAGGTCTTTTGGTCAGTGCACTGCAAAAGCAGACTAAAACACAATTGTATGGCCAAATCCATTTTATAAATAGTTCTCATATCATGATATTTCCCCCCCCCAAATATCCAAATTATCAGATATCTACAATGTACTTTTGTAGTCAGAGAAAATATATTGCTGACATAGAGTTTTACTTTTACTGTGATTCTGTTCTCAAGAACTTTTATGAATGTAAATATTTTTATCTTTTTAAAAATTTATTTATTTATTTGTTTGTTTTATTTTTATGTGGTGCTAAGGATTGAACCCAGTACCCCACACATGCTAGCCAGTGTTCTACTACTGAGCTGCAGCCCCAACCTTTTTTTTTTTTTATCTTGGTAGTGCTTTGACATCATTTATTAGGATATTGTACGTACATCATTGTGTGAGTTTTGATTTGTTTTTCAAGCAAATTAAGGCAAAGTTAACAATGAAGCATTCAGGGTAATGCAAATTGAAGAAGAATTAAAGCTTTGCCTTTAATATATCAACTATTGTGATTTAATAATTTTGAAAAGTGGCTGTTGGCAATTTATGCTGCACAGGATGCCAACAGTGAACATGATCTTTACTTGGTGGGTAGGACCAGCATTCTTCCTGATCCAGTTCTGCCTCCAGTTGAGGATGGTTTTCCTTGTTAAGTTGAAACTCTAGTCCCAGCCGGAGCACTCCGATATTTATTTCTTTGAACAAGGTCAGAATAGTCTGATCTTTCTGTTTGATTTTTTTTTGGTAGAGATGGAACATGAACATGCTTTTATTGTTAAATTTACTTTAGACTCAAATAACTTCTAAATTGCTATTTTATCTTCAACAGGAGCTTAAATTTTTCTGTCTTCATCACTGATTTTTTTATGTATTAGTAAAAATTATTTTGGTCTCAATAACAATTTTAACCATAAGATTTCATTATGAACTCAAATCCCCCTGCTTCTATGATTTTGGGTACATCACTCTCGATTTCAAATGCTGCATTTGTTAAAAAAAAAAAAAGCAGACTTAAATCTACTTCAAACTTAGTGAGCAAAGGAGTCAATAGCGACTCAACAGACCTGGGATAAAACCCACTTTAGCCATGGATCAGTTAGGAGCATTTGCTCTCTGGCTCTATTTTCCTAGTAGTTGAAGTGAAGGTTTGGATTGGATTGCTTAAGTCTCATCCTCTTGAAAATTCAGTGAGGGCAAATCATAAAGACTGGAATGTCTTTTCACAATGCTGCACATGAAAAGATCTTCACCACATCCATGCCTGGATGTCCTATAATAATACTGAGTTAATGTGCTGAGCTGTTGGGGGTGATGACCTTCATGGACTAATTATAATAATTTATAGTAATTCTTTTTTTGTGCATGAAGAATTTGTTCATGTGCTGGAGGTCTACACACTAAGAGCAGAAAGAAGGGCTGAATCATTCTCCCTCTTCCTATTTAATCAGATATATACTCAGATAAAGAGAATTATGGAGTAAGGGTTAGTCTCTGCTTAGGTACTGAAGCTTGGACAGAAGCATTTTCTTCTTATTTCTCCGTGAAATGTACTTACCTTGATTTCCTCTTCAGGGCCATTTTATCCATTCATCTATCCATCATCCATGGATTTATGCATGTATGCACACATCCATCTAAAACATTCAATATTGGTTGGCCATCCACTATCTGCTAGTCACTGTGACAGGGGTTGGGTGTAATATTGGCACAAAAATCACCTGCCCCATTCTCAAGTTAGCTGTTATTATCTTGAAATCTTTATATACAGGTCATAGATAAGCTAAATGATATCTTAAATCCATACAGTAAACTGCAATGAGGAATCTGTTTCATGAGTTAGTTCTAGGGCTATTTGGAAATATATTTTTTATGCATTTGCATTCAAATTAAATGAAATGTGAATATGTTACAGTAATTATTGCTATAGACCAGAGAGAGAGACAGCTATTTTTTTTTTACAGATAATTAATGATTTAGTATAATCAGCTCTGTGTTTCTAATTTAGGGTAGAGAAGTTGGACAACAACAACAACAAAATACCTTGGTTCCACTTGAACTTGGTTGGGGTGGATGTGGTGGGTGTTCACTAAGAGTGACCAGTGAAGAGACTTGTGGTGTCATTAAAGGAGAACCAGGGAGTAGAAACCCCCTATGCCAGTTTCAGCTACATTAATCCTCAAAGCCCAAGGCTGTGCTCCCATAGTTTCTACGGGGAATGCTTCTCTCTCATGCCTTTCCTTTTGGAAGTGTTATATAGCCTTATGCAAATATTGGGTTTAAATAATCCCAGGCTGGGAGAGTTACTTCATTTTTGAATATTATTTTTTTAATTTATAGCATTCTTTTTATTGCTCATTATCATCATTGCAAATTATAATGGTGGACATCAAATATTAAAGTTACAATTCTAGATGAGTAGTAAGTTCTTAATGAAAGGTCTTTATTTAGACACAGTATAATTATGTGTTCACATATTGGCCTCCCCTACACACATGTCTGCTTCTCAGGACATCAACAATGTATTATTCATGATTTTGTTCCCAGGGTCCTCAAACAGGTGCAATTTTGCACTGTCCACCTCCTACCCAAGGGGACAGATGGTGGTGTCTGCAGATATTCTGGTTGTTGCAATTGAGGGGCATTCAGGTGACACTGCCCAAAGGCCTACAGTGCACAGGAGAGCCACCCGCACAAATAAACACTGATCCCTAAATGTCATTAATGCAGAGGCTGAGAAACACTGTCTGGAAAAATATTGTATACTAACAGGTGCATAAAAAATTTCTGAGTGAATTACTCATGGGGACATGGATGAATAGATGGATTGATGCATTTGGGTAGATAGCTAGCCTCACAGAAGGTTGAACTTGTAGCAATTATGAACATTTAATTTAATTTGAAATAACATTAGAACTACCTCATGAAACAGATTAAGCATTTCTAGCTTATTATGTGGCTTTGGATAGCCACAATTTCTCTGGTCTCATATTTGCAGATCAAAATGTAATAAATAATAACAGTTAACATTTACTCTGTTTGACCCACATGGCAGTTATCCTGTGTAGTGTTTTGCATGCTTCATTGTCCTAAACTTCACAGTTATTATTACCAGTTCACAAATGAGGAAACTGAGGCTCCAAGAGTTTATTTGCCTAAGGGTATTAAGTCATTGAAGGAGCCAAGATTTGAGTCTAAGTCCTTCTGGCTCCAGGGCTTGATGGTTTAGCCACTACATGGTTAGTTGGAGACAGAGTACACCAAAAGGGTCACTAACACGAAACTGCAATCCTGTTGTTACTGCAGGATTTCAAGGACACTCATAATCTTGGCTCAGTGATAACTTAGATTCATGCGTTTCCTATGGCAGCCTTTGAAAAATTCTACTTGAGCTTGACATTCAAAGTTCTTTATTTGATGTTGAACCTTTACTAAAGTTTTTTGTCTAATACTGAACCACTCTCATAGGTTTGACAGTATTGATTTGCCAAGTATTTTTTTTGCATGGGAAATTCAGAAATGAATTATTAGCCAATAACTGAAATATACATTATGGTTCTATTTCATAGAACTCTAGTAAATCAGATGCAATGATTAGATAGAGGCATATATCTTAAATCCATTGACTTTTTTCTTCCTCTTTTTGGTCCTGACTTCTACACTCAGAAACTTGTTTTCAAAGATTGATTCTGAATCCTTTGGAGTTAACAGAGTCTCTCTAGAATTTCAATTTGGTTGACTTGGAAGGACTGAAGAGTCTGGCAAGTTTCCCGGACCAACTTATTTGATGGGGGGAAAAAAGTGAAAATTACCGAAGGACTAGGGGACAATTGTGTTGCTGCAAAGTGCTACAAGAAATCTATGCTTTAACGGCTACAGGACAGGTGGGAAAGGCTACTGCCCTTTTGGTATCTCCATCAGTGCTCAGCAAGATGGCACCTTTGTGTCTGGCTCTGATTTCTGCCTCTGCTTAGTTTGTGCATCTCCCCTCCTGTCCATCTGTCTGTCTATCCATCCATGACCTGTGCATCCAGACATCATCTGGAGCTGGAATAGCCAGGTGGTTCCAGGTGTCGGATGTCTGAGTCCATCCCACGAGCAGTGCCTGTCCATCTCCACTGTTCCACTCAGCCATGGTGTGGCTCAGTTTCCTCACATGCATGATGTGATAACGTCTACCTGAAACAGTCGTCAATACCACAAAGCAAGGATGCAGGTGAAGAGTTGAGGGCAGCACCTGAAGCATGATAAGAGCTCAGTGCATTGTTAGGACTAATGAAGTGGAGAGGGGGACTTTAGGGGCAATTCCCCTGAGACGAAGCAACAGAGAAGGTGGCGGGGGGGGGGGGTAAAGTGGGTGAGGGGAGTGGAGTGTGTGACGTAGCTTCACGGTCGTTACCTGCGGAGCCCTTTTCACCTTTCTCTCCTTTCCGGCCGTCTCTACCATCTCTTCCTGGAAGGCCGATGCGACCGTGGGGCCCCGGGGATCCGTTGGCTCCAGGGGGGCCTGGTGGCCCAGGTAAGCCAGGGATGCTGCAGATGTATCTTGGGGAGTAGCTGTCTCCTTTGACCTGATTGCCCCGAGGTTGTCCACTTGCACAGATGGCAAAACTTGTGACATAGAGCAAGACAAACATCTTTGGCTCTGGAAGAGAAACACACACATCAGTGTCCCCTTCCAGGAGGGGGTTAGATGTGGCTGACCGTGCTGGAGCAGGGGAACTGGCACTGACAGCTCTCACCTTTTCACACGTGTGTTCCCTCGTAATTCCATTGAAAATGACATTATTGATGTGGAGTCTCAGTGTCCCACACAGGGATGGTGTAGAGAAAGGCTGGATTAAAAGGTTTTCCCAAAAGACATCGCTACATTGCATTTATTCTACAGAGTCAGTGATAGACTTTGAAAAATGATGCTTTTATTTTGCAAAAGAAAAGCATTTTTAAAAAATGGAAAATTAGAGATGCAAATGAATAAGATAAATATTGGCACTATTCTCATCACTCAGAAATAATTACCCTTTACTCTCCAATATACACATGCTTCTAGTATTTTTTGTCTGTGTCATGGAGAAAAACAATAGGGTATCATTCCTATAATTCTTCAACTTTCTTTACTTTACATATGAACTTCTTCTTATGTCAAAAGTTATTCACAGCATTAGCCAGGTGCAGTGGCACATGCCTGCAATCCCAAGGCTTAGGAGGCAGAGGCAGGTGGATCACAAGGTTAAAGCCAGCCTCAGCAAAAGTGAGGCACTAAGCAACTCAGTGAGACCCTGTCTCTAAATACAATACAGAATAGGTCTGGGATATGGCTCAGTGGTCGAGTGCCCTGAGTTCAATTCTTGGTACTTCCCCAGCCCCCCATAAAAAGTTACTCACAACATTAAAAAATATTGCTTTTGTCTCTACTATTTTATATATATGTACAGATGTGCATATATACCCCCACATATATACACATAGGCATGTATACATGTATATATATATACATACACACACACACACACACACACACATGTATGCAATTCCCCGTTATAGACATTTGTTTCCAGGGTTCTGCTAATATAAACAGCACATCAGACATGTTCTAACTAATCTTTGCATATATCCATGATAATTTTTTTTGTAAAAGTTAAAGCAGGAGCAAGGAAGAGGCATTTGCAAGAAAACCATGTTTTTCACTTGATAATCATGCCTAATGCCAATTAGTGTTAATTGGAGTACTGTGCATGTCCTGAGGGGAGTCTCAAACTTTAATTTAGAATCTGCAGGACATAATGTCTTGGTGTCCTATTAAGCCGTTAGCACTGTGGGTCAATTAAAGAGCTATGTGAAATTTGACCACGCACATGCCACATGCTCTGAGTGAAGCGGGCGCAGGTCTCTTCAGCTCTAGTCTGATAGGACGTGGGTTTCCCTCTACAAGGCCTGAGAACGGAGCACTTATTAGCATGGACCCTGGCACACAGGCTGAGGGTTGGGGAGGGGTGGTGCAGGCTGTGGAGACCTGAAGTTTTAGGCCAAATGATCCTCAGGATAAGCAGTTTCTTGAGAGGTGGTTCTGGTTTTGTGTAAATGGGGAATATGTGGATGGTTGAACATGATTTTTTTTGTACTTCTGATTATACAAAAGAATAGGTTTCCTAGTGGCATACTTGTACAGGCAGATAACATGTACTATGATCCTATCCATCCCCCCACTGATGGGGGGTTTTCTATTTTCCCTTCACCCTCCTCCTGATCCCCTTCCTGTTCTCTGATGGTCTCTCTGGATTTGGGCTTTAGCAGGAAATCTGTACAGTGTTTGATCTGGACTATACTCTCCCAAAGGAAATAATCATGAAACCTGGGATAAGCAATTACATAGTTTCTTTTTTCTTTTTTTGTACCAGATGTTGAACCCAGGGATGCTTAACCACTGAGCCATATCCTTAGCCCTTTTTATTTTTTGAGACAGGGTCTCCCTAAGTTGCTTAGGGCCTTGCAAAGTTGCTGAGGCTGGCTTTGAATTTGTGATCCTCCTGCCTCAGCCTCCCAAGCTGCTGGAATTAGAGATGTGTGCCACCGTGCCCAGCTTGTTACTTTTAGACAGCCACCTCAGAGAATTTAACCATATACACCATCCACTTTTTTGGTACTTGGGGGTAATTGCAACATCCAAAGGCTAGACTCAGAAATTTGCCAGAGCATAGGAATGACAATCTGAGGAAAACACAGTATGCTCCTGAATTAAGACTGATTCCTAGAAATCTTATTACTGAAAAGCCAAAGTCACTTTTCCAAATAGAGACTCCATATTCTTGACCAAATCGCAGTGTTATCAGCCTTCTTTCTTCCCTCCCAAATTAGAGAGAATGTCTTTGCTATGTTCTGTCTGCTAGGCTTGACATACCACACTGTCTTACTCTGATTTTTTTGCTACTATAATGAAATACCCAAGATTGGATACTTACAAAGAAAAGAGGTTTATTTAACCCATAGTTATGAAGGCTGAATGTCCAAAATGCATAGTGCCAGTTCTGGCGAGGACCCTCTCAGCTGCATCACTTCAAGAAAAGATGGTATCGTGGTGGGAATGCAAGTGAAAGGAGGAGATCAGTTGGCAAGACAGGAAGCCAGAGTAACAGGGAGTGGCCTGCCTTGTGACTGTGCACTGAGCCCCTCCCCTTAAAAGTCCCACCACCATTCAGGACATAGCTTCCAACACACGAACCCTGGAGGCACACACCTAAACCACATCCACATCACGGCAAGCACTATCCTATGGCTCAAATGGTTTTAAAGTCATTTCTGACAGCCCCAGGGTTCTGATAAAGACACCAGCACTTCCAAACAAGCTGCAGATGAAGGAAAATTGTGAGAACATTCTAGGCACAATCCTTGCTACAGTCAAAACTAGACACATCGATTAAGTGGCCTGTTCCTCTCTCATGTACACGACTGGTCATGGCGGGGCTCTGAGAGGGAATGTGAAGGTGGAGAACTTCTGAGGCCTCATGGGACAGATGGCTATAGGCTGAAGCCAGGAAGTGGTTTGAAGAAAGACTGGGAATGATCTGGAGGAAGGTGCCCTGGGCAGTGATAGAGAATACAACAAGGGCAACAGTTGTGGGGGTGGGTGTCTGGAAGAAAATCTCAGTAACATCTAGTTGATGATGGGCAGAGGAAGCAGAAACCTAAAAGATATGCTTACAGAAAAGAATATTGAACATCACCAAGAGCCAGGCAACAGGTGCTCAAAGAGGGATAAATAAGAGCAACTGAAATGGACCTTGGACCAATGGGTTGCTTTTCTTTGAGAAATGCCCTGGTAAACTGCCGGCACCAGTCTAAAAGCACGTCCCCATTAGGACTTTCTGAAAGGCTCTCCAGATGATTGTCCACTAACAATCCTTATCTGACGCAGAGGCACAATGTGTCGTGGGGCCTGATGATGAGTGTCAGTCCATTCTTGGGACTCCGTTCACGCAGAAGGAAAAGGGGTGCGGGTCGTGATGGAAGCCACAGTGGCCTCTCCCGCGATGGCTGTCCACTTCACTTAGGAGCCAAAAGCTTCGTGTTCCCTGGTAGCACGGTGTGCGGGCCCCCTAATGCCCCTGATTTCTACTCTGCTCACTCTCCAGTTCCAGTCACAATGGATAACCTAGGGTTCCCAAGGACACCGGTGCCTCTGCCTCAGGCCTTCACATGTTTCTTCCCTCTGTCTAAACCCTCTTCACCAAGGTGTCCATACATGGCTCCCTCCCTCCCCTCCTTCTGCAAGTCTGCTCAAATGCCACCTTTTCATGGAGCCCAACGTTTGCACCTTATTCACGATGCAATCTGCCCCCACCCCAGCCTCCCTCTTTCTGCTCTATTTTTCTGTCTCCATTGTGCTCACCGTCGCGGACTCCTGTCTTTATTTTACACTGCACATTCTGTCTGGAGGGAAGGGAAGCTCCCCGAGGGCAGAGCTCTCTGTCTTAGTCATTAATATGTCTACCCGCCTAGAACAGTGCGTAGTACAATAAGCCCCAGCTGGAGGAAGTGAAGACTTTTTGTGGGGATGGTGTGAGTTTTGTTGAATAAAAAGTAGTGAGGAATTACGGAGTATGAAATATTATAAGAGAAAGAGAGAAAAGAAGATTTCAAGAAGGCTTTCTGGGGTCTATGTCCCTTTCACAGTATTTGAGGAATAAAGGACTTGAGTTGTTGTGCCTTTAAGTCTATGGTGTTTAAAAGTATACAAAAGCTCTTTTTTTTGTATTTATAATATAGGCACACTAAAATTCAAAAGAAAAAGGGTATGAAATGACAAGTAAATCTCTTCTTATTTTTCTGTCTTCTCATCAGTTTCCTCCCTGAAGGTGGTGACTGTTGACAGTTCCTTGTGTCTTCTCCTTCCCCGCGTTGATGTCCTCCGTACCATGGTCTGCACTTGGCCTTTTTGCTGAGCTTCTTTATAGGTATGCAGAATCATCCCTTGGTGTCCATGGGGGATTGAGTCCATGACTGTCCAGCCCCCATGTATACCACAGTACAAGATGTTCAAGTCTCTGATATAAAATGTTGGCATATTTACCTATGACCTATGCACATCCTCCTGTGTACGTAAGTGGTCTCTGGATTGCCTATAATACTTAACACAATGTGAATGTTATGTAAGTAGTTGTTACTGTATTGCCTAGAGAATAATAAGAAAAAAGTCTGTACAGGTTCAGTACACAGTTTTCTAAAATATTTCTGATCTGTGATTAATTGAATCCATAGATGTGGAAATTGTGGATGTGCAAGGCTGACTGCGTGTATCTGTACTGGGGTAGACAGAGCTACCTTAGACCCTGTTATTTCGGGTCCAAAATATGTTATATTTAAGTAGTTGATGGACAGGTAGAATATTTGCATTCTTCTGTTATTCTAAACAATAGTGCACTGAATATTTATATTTATCTATCTGTACATGGTTCGTGACACACAGCAAAAAATTTTTCCCAGTTTGTCTTTTCACTTTTTTCATGTAATTAAAAAAACCCATTTTTATTGTAAAAACATTTTTGAAGTCAAATTTATTGTGTTTAGAAAGCTTCCCCCACTCTAAGGTACTAAAAGAGTCTTTCTCTTTCTCTAGGGCTGGGGGTATAACTCCTATTGTAGAGCACT